AATTTCCAGAAGTTTGATTGATTTGAAGCTTCGCACACGTATCAGTGACCCGTGACAATGTAATAATTTGATAACAGTCTTCCATTGTCCTTATTCATAAGTAAAATTCTGTAAAAAGCATATATGTTAATAAAAAACCACGGATTCCAAATGCCGCTTTACGAGTACTGAAACTGCAAGGTTTTATAGCTCAGAGGCAGAGCACTGGCCTTGTAAACCAGGGTTCGTGAGCTCAACTCTCACAGGAGGCAGATTGTGGTATACCTTATTTTGATTTTTTTAACACGGCTTTATTAGCTTGGCCTGTATGTATGTACGTATGTATGTAATGGAATCTTTGAGCACAATTTTCACCAATTTCCAGAAGTTTGATTGATTTGAAACTTCGCACACATATCAAGGACCGATGACAATGCAACAACTTGATAACAGTTTTCCATTATCTTTACTAGGACCTCCAGGATTGATAAATTCTTTTATAGATCCTCTGTAGGTGAGTAAGAGAGTTAGAGCTAGCGCGCGATATGCGCATGCGTACAGCTTCAGACTTACTCTTTGTGGTTCCGGCACTCGCCACAGCACAACGGAGGCAGATACTTTTTCAAAGTAGTGCATTCTCACCTTGTTCATTGCGTATGATGCCATTAATCCTGACTTGTCTTCGGCCGTCCACAAGATGCAATGTTGTACCATGCAGTCATTTATCTAGGCTTGCGGCTGTTTGTTGCTGGACAAGCTTATGTAGCACTTATTCGTGTAAGATATTTAGACGGTATTCGGCTTGAAGAACCTGATTGCTCTAAGCTAACAAGAAAACACCATGCAACAGTGCAACTTTAAATGAAATGATTAGATTACGAAATGATTCGTAAGACATTTCAATACCACATGTCCACAAGAAACGAGTTGATAAATCGGACCAAAAATGAAAAATAAATAATAATAATAATAAACGTCTTTATTAAATAATATATACAATACATGTGTATATATAAAGTGTAACTATAGTGGCGAAGTTTAGCAATATGCTACTCTAACACTTAAACCACTAAAGTTAAATTATAATCAAATCCAAGCGAATAACCAAAATTTCTGTGTTATGTGCCGCGGTTATAATATGGTTCAAGATGACACACGGGTTGATGACGTCAGTTACACGAATCGCTTGAACGCGTGGTTTTAACCGCGGTTTTGTTGCAAGTTGTTTATTTTAGAAAAGCGCGTATATAGTCTCTGATTATTTTTATTATCACTTAATAATCGGTTGCTTTTTCGTCTACAACTGTATATGGAAAGTTTAAATAAGAAAACCTTTCATAATATTCATGGGAGAAATGTTTTTTTCAGATTTTTTTTAATGATGGAGCCATGGCTTTGTAGCTATGATAACTTTCAATTCTCTAAATTTTTTCCGCATGTCAAAGAAAACATTTATTGATTCAGCAGAAATGATGAAAAAAGAAATTAGCAAAACCGTATACAGGTGGATATCATCTAGTGAGTTTATATGGCCATATTTTAATATTCTTGTGGTATATGGCTACACAGGATACTTTGTTAAGCATAGGAACTACATTTAAAGTGTCCCCAACAACCGTAATGAGTACCTATAACTAATAAGGTGCTCCACTTTATGGTAAAACTGAAGTCAGCCTGTATCATTTTTCTCAAAAATGAAGCTGAAGTACAATAACAATATCCAATACCCGGCAAAATTCTAACTTGTCACATTCAAATAATAACCAGAAATATAAAACTACTCTTGAGTTGGGTAAATACCACAATTTTGCGGTGATAACTATGACATATAACAGCTGATTCGTGACGTCACGGATCTTATAACCAAACTGATAACTACACTCCGCTTGAACGGATTGGTAAATACAACCCAAAATGGTAAATACCATTTCCATTGGTTATCCGCTTGAATTTGATTATTATGTTCTTAACAGTTAACAGAAAAAAAAATGCAAAATATATATAAAAATTCACTTATAACCCATATGAGAAGTGGAAAATGAGATATTGTGTGTGCACATACTGCTACTCTGAAAAGGTCTATGAATATTGAGGGAAAAGTTAATCGTTCAAATAATTCAACTTAACATTGTAGCGGAAACATGGTAAACTCATGGTCTTAAATTTACTGTCCAAAGAATTATATATTGCTGCAACGTTATATGAGAAACTTCGTTGGAACAGAGATGTTGTATGCTTCGGAATTCTGATAACGTGCCTGTCTCTAATAGCTCTATTGTGAATGGTGTTATTAAAAATAATTTTTTCATATAGGTATTCTGGCTTAGAATTAATTAAAATTTTATGGATAAATGTGGAAAAATGTAACTTGACCAACTGGTCAAACTTTAGCCATCTCAACTCATTTGTGAGAGACATGGTCTAACCTTCTCATGCCGAATATAAAACGAACACAGCTGTTTTGAATCAATTGGATTCTGTGTTTAGTGATCTGATCCAAACAGGGAAAATATAGAATACTGCAGTAGTTCAAGACAGACACAACGAAGGTTTCGCAAAGTTTTTTCCTCATTTTGAAGTTTAGCAGATATCTGTTTGAATAAAGACTGCGTAAACGTGCATAGGTTTTTGTGTCAGATTTTTTACATGCTCGGTAAATCTTAATTTTGTATCAATTTCTACACCCAATATTTTTGCGCTATTGGTGAGCTCGAGCTGCTTATTGTCTATGTTCAATTAAGAGCGAAACAACGTCGTTCCTTCTGCTGTCTGAACAAAAACAATAAATCTTAGATTTTTCCGGGTTATGCTGAGGTTGTGATCTGCTGAATATTTGCATAGACTATCAATATCTGCTTGTAATACTTGGACAGTGCTCTGTATATCTTCTGTACCGAAACAATGCGAGAGCTGGGTGTCATCAGCGACCGATTGAATATCAGAGTTGTAAACTGATCTAGATAAGTCAAATGTATATATTAAAAACAAAAGAGGTCCCAAAATGGAACCCTGAGGCACTCCTGAAGGTATGCGAGTGACATCAGATGTAATACCCTTCACTGAAAACACATTGAGTCCTGTTTTTAAGATAGCTTTCAAAAAATTTGATTACAACCTCATCACAACCAACAGAACGTAGCTTAGCACATAAAGTTTATGATCTATCTTATCGAAGGCTTTAGAGTAGTCGACTGATATTAAAGCTAAACCCATATGTTTATTAAAGCCGATGTTGTATTATAATGTTTTCTAAAACCCGATTGATTAGGTGGGATTATCTGATGTACTTAAATGTATGATGTAAGTTGAAGTTGTGCAATCTTTTCAAGGATTTTTGACAAAATAGGTAGTAAACTGATTGGTCGAAGATCTGATAGGAGACCGGGTGTCAAAGTTTTTCCTATAGGTATTATCAGTGCTTGCTTCCAAATTTTAGGGAAGTAACCGGTTTCAAGATATAGATTGATAATGTGAACTAAGTGGAAAAATATAACGGGTAGGCTTACCTTTACCATAGTTAGCGTAAGACCATCTATTCCTTTGGCATCTGATTTAAGAGATTTAATAGTTTGTAGAATTTCTGAAGGATCAATAATTCTAAATGAAAAAGAATCAGATTTTTGTATAGGTGACATAATTCTTCCGAGGTATTATTTGTACTGTAAACTGACATAAAATAGTCATTGATTTCATTTGGATCAGATAGATTATCTGGAAGAGGGGTTTTGTCCGAGAATGTATATTAAGGTGGTTTAAGCCAATCCATACCTTTCTTTCGTCATTCTGTTCAGATAAAAATTGTAGATATGCTCTTTTCTCTTTCCTCACCTGAGTAAGCGCGTGATTCTTTTTTGCTTATAAATATTTAGGTTTTCTACAGTTTTATTTGTTTTATATGTAGTATGGGCAATATCTCTTTCTTTAAGAAAGTCACGTAGGCGGGGAGATAGCCATGGAGCAGGTGGTTTGTTTACTCTAAAAGTAGTTACAGGAGCGTGGTGTTATCATAAACTCTCATCAGTGTATTTGTTAGGACTCAACTTTAGCATCTATATGGTTCATAACAAATAAGTCGTCTAAATTTGCAGACGCTAAGTCACTTAGAAAATATTCTTCGTTGAAGCACTTGAAGTTCCTTACAGTTACAAACCGTTGTTTATTTTTCAAATCAGGAATGGATAGATTGCACGATACCATTTTGTGGTCAGATATGCCGTTAGAATCAAGAACCAAACAGTCGGAAATAATGTTTGGTTTATTAGTAAAAACTGGATCTAATAAGGATGCTGTGTTACTTGTCACTCTTGTAGGATCACTGACAATTTGAGAAAACTCACCATTTGAAAGCATGGAGAAAGGACGTTGTTGCCGCTCAAAATATCAACATTCAGATCTCCTACAATAACAATGTTATCAAAATTGTTTGACATTAACGGTAACATGAGATCTAGAGCGCTGATGCAATCATTGAGGTTTTGTGAGGGCGGTCTATACAACACACCCAAAAGCAAGAGGCATTTGTTATTTTTATGCTGACCCACAGTTGTTCCAAGCAATTTCCAAAGCTGTTGTCAAAGTTAATAATTTCGACCTGTAGGTCAGTGGATATGTAGACTCCTACTCCGCCACCGCGGGATCCCCTGTCACTACGGAACAGATTGTAATTATTGATACTCACCGCATCATTGGTAATGTCTTGGCTCAACCATGTTTCACTTACAGCGAAAATACCGAACCGCTCAGTCTGAATCAGGTCAATAATTGCAGCAAAGTCGGACATGAGAGATCGCACGTTCAGATGACCAAGCTTCATTGATCCTAACTTATCCATAATCTATTCTAGCTTTAAGACTGAGAACATGGTTCTCAAAAAGCATACATGTTTTATCCGATGCAGCATGCTCAACATTTATTTTTGTACGATATTTACGGTTATACTGTACACAGTTTGCACATTTCACAGAATCACTGTCACAATTTTTATAAGAATGGCCACTAGAACACTTAAGACACGTAGATACATTAGATGCACAGTTCTTCTCAAGGTGACCAAATGAACAGCATTTTCGGCAGTGCATAATATTGAGGTGATCAACTACGCTGCACCTCTTCCATCCTACGTAGACGAAACCTTTTGCTAGTAGAAGTTTTCTAATAGCTGGAGACACTTCTAGAACTAGGTGCATTTTTTGAATCCCTCAGCTTTAACTTTGTGACTACTTTCATCGAGGCTGAAGAATCTTCGTCGTTCAAGTTGTTTAAAGTCAATATGTTTTGAACAATGCTATCATTATCGCCCAAATGATCATTAGAAGAAACATTTCTAATTATAATACGAGGATTAAACTTCTTGGATTCCCCAATGTGATATCCATTTCCAAGCTTGTTTCTAAGAGCTTCCTTCGCTTCTGCAGGTCCTGCGAGCTGTTGCA